TGTGAAATATGATATATAAAGAAAGATGTAATGTTTTGAATGACCAACAATAAAAAAATAATAAATAAAAAAATAAAAAATAAAGTTATTGTATTTGGAAAAAAATGATAAGATAATAGAATAAATGAGACATTATTACCCTATGTACACACATATATATGACCTGTGTTACTACACTACATCATTTAAACCGAATGAATGAGAAGTCATAATCCATTTATGTATAATGTGTCAAAATGCACTCTGCTGTCATGTATAGTGAACTGGAACAAATTTTTTAGAAATAAATTTAAATAATTGATAAGAAATTTTTTCAAAGGAGGGGAAGTTTTTTTGTATATTGTGGATATTTGCATCATTATTTGTAATTATTTACCTAGTTATATTTACCCTATAAAATTAGGTTGCAAACCTCAAATATGAACAATAAGATTCATCCTAAAATAAATTAAATTTAAATGAAATGAAATCCCCAAATTCAAAATAGACATATACAAATTATTTCAAAACAATTATAATTTTTGAAATGCAAGAAAATGATCAATGTGCCTGAGTCAGTGACCCAAAAGAATAAATACAAATGACTTGGGAACATGTGGTCAATTACATGAGTGCACAGAGAAAATCACATTAAAATCATCAAGGGGACTTTGAATACCTTACCTTGGTGTTTGCTGTAGTCCTAAATCTGCAACACCCAGAGACAGAGTGATTCTTTGTTGGGGAGAACCCCAGAAGCAGGAGTCTGTATCTAAAGCTCTTGTCTCCTCTGAGCTTAATTTACTCTTTAGTAAAGCTTCTCTAGAACCATCTTAACATGAGATCAGGGACCAAGGCCTGCTCTTTGTGACCTCAAGCTGGTTGCCTGGTGACCATAAGGTCCTGCTACCTGGTGAGGGAGTGACCAGGAACCTCCAGAGACAGTGTGTATCAGATGGTCCAACAATGTGGCAAATGCTGAGTGGAGTTTTAAAATCTTAATTTAATGGACAAGTGGTTGTACATATCCACAAGGTGAACGTGATATTTTTAGCACATGCACACAAGGTGTGCTGAACAAAACAGCTTAAGGAAACCTTCCCTCACCATATCATTACAGTATGATTGCAGGTTTGTGCTCCTCACTTCAGATCTTCATAAAACACATGATAAGATCAGGGCACTGCAGCCACCAACCACTCCCACACAATGTGGAACTTCAGGACTGGGTCTTCCGATTCACCTAAGTTCCTGTACCTGTTATCCAGCCTCCCTTCTCCTCCTGCCTAGTTCCCAGCCTCCTGGGCGACTATTCTGTATGTAGATTGAGGATCCTTTGGCCTCCACATAGGAGCACAAGCAGTGTTTGCTTCTGTCTGGCTTCTTTCATGGGACACAATGGCCTGTCCCCTTTATTCTCTTATAAATGGCAGGATTTCATTCTTCTTGAAGGCTGAAGAGCACTCAGTTATACATATGCCACATTTGACTTCTGTGAAGACTGCCCCAGGAACATTGGGAAGTGCAGGTACGTCTTTGGAAGCTAATTTCACTCCCTCTATTTTGTTATTATCAAGATCTACCACCATGAGTCTGGATTTTTTATTTTTTCCTACCTCAAAGCCTCTTAGTTAACGTGCCCATGTGTAGTTTTGTGGGTCAGACATCCTCTTTTTTCTCTTAAACCATCTCCTAATTTTTATTTTATTCAACAATATTCACAGAGGACAGACTCCTTACCAGGAACTGTACTAGACTTCACAGTTGCAGGCACAGATGAGATAGGGTTCAGAATTTGTAGGAATTCATAGTGAGTGAGAGGAAAACTTCAGTAAGTTGAGGATGATAGGAAGGAAAGAGGATCCCACAAAAAGTCAGAAAATCTTCAGAGTTGGTCTCATTTGCATCACCTCAGAACACATCTCTGCAAGTGAGTTTCCAGGGTAACAAGGATCCCCCAGCATCACTTGTGAGGTTACGTGTTAAAGGTATAAGATTTGGTTTGTTAAAATTAAAGACAATCCCTTATTGTAGATAACTGGGAAAGTGCCCTGTTATGTTCACACAACTGAGATTTCCTGGAGAACGTTAAAAGGCTGATCCAATGTGGAACCTCAGGAACAGTCCTGAGGACAGGGAGCTCCTGTAGGGAGACCCCAGGGAGGAGTGGCTTTAAAACCTGTGAAAGCTGAAGTCGTCAAAGGGCTGGATGGAGGAGGCCAGGCTCTCGGGCCCTTGATGTCGTGCCCACTGCTGCTCAGGAGAGTCCTGCCATGGCCTTCACTGGGGCACCATCCACCTGACCCCTCCAATTCCCTGCTCCTCAGACTGTAGACAAAGGGGCTCAACATGTGGATGACACCAAGGCCACATCAAGGTCATCTAGACAACAAAGTGCCTGCAGAACTGAGGAGGACCTCAAGGCCAGTGCTAGAGTTTCAATCTTAAGTGTCACCCAAAGGCCCTGTGTTAAAGCTTGGTCCCCATCTTGGTGCTGTTGGAAGGTGGAGGAAATGCTAAGAGGAAGGTCTAGTGGGAAATCTTAGTTCATTTGGAAATTACCCTTGAAAGGGATTGTAGGACACCAATCTGTTTTCTTTCTTTTCTACTTCCAGTCCTTGATGTCAGCACCTTTCCTCTGCCACCTGCTAGCACCCCTCAACATGTGCTCATTTCAATAAGGCCCAGCCATGGGGCCAATCCAAAACAGATTGGAATCTTGAAAACTGTGAGCCAAAATGAATGTTATCTCCTTATGAGTCAATTATGTCAGGTGTTGTGTTATAGTTACAGAATTCTAACTCACATAAGCCAGTGCAGCATGCAAGGACATTACCAATGATTTAGACCCACATGCAGAAAAGGCTTTGAACTGATTTCTGACAGTTGAAATTCTACAATGATAGAAGCTAAGTACATTGCTATGTTATTGATGAGGTTGCCTGAATGTAGGAACTCAGGACTCTGGCAAGAACAGAAGAGTGTGGGATTCTGATGTGTGTGCAGAAGGGAGGTAGCAGGAGAGGTTCTTAAGTAGTAAAAGCCAGAGTGTAAATCACACGTCCATCTGTATCATCTCCCCTAGTCTATACACAGCAGAGAGTGAGAACAATAAAACGTCAGATGCCATCATTTCTTATTGTCCCAAATCTGTTTATTTCAATATCCAATATTTTTATCCCAATCAGAAAGGAAACTTCACCACAGTCTTCTCTACATCTTATGTCTTGATTGATAGAAAGCCACAGCCCATTATCAACAAGTCAGTGTTGGGGCCATGTGGATGGACCTGGAGGATATTGTGCTCAGTGAAGAAGGCAGATACTGAAAGACAAGTACTTCATGGTGTCTCAAGTGGAGGTTAGAAAAAATAAAGTAAAATGTCACCCTGAACATAGGATAGAGATTACTAGATCTTGGGAAGGGGTTGGAGACGGTGGATAAGGGAGGCTGGATTTGATCAGTGCACACTGTGGGCAGGTGTGGAAATGCCATGCTGAACCTCACATTTACAATAATTTATGATCATCAAAATAAAATCCAGAATACCTCCCATCAGTCACATGTCCCAAGTTTTGCCCCATTACAACCACATCTACTCCCCTCTGTGCCCAGAGCCTGGACCTTTGAACCATTAATCTAGAGCCTGGATCTTTGAACCATTAATCTATTAACCATTAATATATTGCTAGCATTTCAAAAATGTTGTCTAGCACATAGAAATATGTACCTGGGAAACAGCGAAGTAGGTACCACGGGGGACACGTTATGCCCATGACTGTTAGGCACTGTGGACACCACGATGCTGAAAAAGAAACAGGATCCAAAAAATTGAGAATAAGACCTAATGACCAGCTAATGCCATGGTATGTTAAAGGCTACCTTATAAAGATTGGAAATTCCGGAAGTCTTACAGGAAATAAATCACGAACACACAATTGAAGATCTAAACTCTGTCAGGCATGGTGGTGCATGCTTCTAATTTCAGTGACTCAGGAGGCTGAGTCAGGAGGATCAAAGATGAAAGTCAGCCTCAAAAATTTAGTGAGGCCCAAAATAACTTAGCAAGTCACTATCTCAAACAGAAACCAGAAATGTCCATGGATATTTCTCAGTGGTTAAACACCCTTGGGTTCAATCCATAGTACTAAAAATATTTTTTTCTCAGATTTGCCTTCACAATTAAATTATAAAAACAGTGTTAATTGACAAATATTTTCACATTTGAATATAAATTGTGACTATTTTTAGCAAAATAAGTAATTAATATCGTGACATATGTCATTTGAGGTTAACTCATTTCTAAAATTATACCTCATGGAACAAATGAAAATTTTCAAGAATTTCTCATCCATAGATTGTAATATTTTGAGAAAGTTCAGAAATGACAAATGAAAAGGAATGAATTTCATAGAGATCAGAATGTGCAAAAAATAATGATTCAGTGGAATTGTATGCAGAAGTCAAAATCAAAGAAATGGAAATGCAGGAATAAAGGAGAAGAAGCAAGTTCTGCTTCCAGAATCTGATAAAGAATCCCAGATTCTGACTTGGAGGCTCTGAGCCCTGCAATCAGGGGCACTTATTCAGTCTCTGAAAAAAGACACTTTAATCTTTCTCACAGAGTCTTCTCAGAGCCAGCTTGATGTCCTTGTTCCTCAGACTGTAGATGGAGGGGTTCAGCATGGGGGTGACCACAGTGTACATCACTGAGGCTGTTGCAGTGGAGTGTGAGTTTTGGGTCACAGCAGAACTGAGGTACACACCTAGGCTTGTACAATAGAATAAGGAGACCACTGAGAGGTGGGATGCATAGGTGGAGAAGGCTTTGTACTTGCCCTGAGCTGATGAGATTGCACGGATGGAGAAAACTATCTTGCAGTAAGAATAAAGGATGCCAGCAATGAGGCCACCTCCCAGCAAGAATGAAGCAATATATATCACCACCTCATTAAGAAAGGCTTCAGAGCAGGCATGCTGAATTACCTGGTTAAGTTCACAGAAAAAGTGTGGGATTTCCAAGTCTGACCAGAAGGATAGCTGCACCAACATTAAGCTTTGTAACAATGCATGTAGGACACTCACAACCCAGGACACCAGAACTAGCAATCCACAGAGCCTGTGGTTCATGATGACCATGTAGTGCAGGGGGTGACAGATGGCCACATACCGGTCATAGGCCATCACAGTCAAAAGGAAGTCATCCAACCCACCAAAGAGTACAAAAAAGTGAATCTGGGTGATGCAGCCTGCATAGGAAATGGCCTTGCTCTGTGTCTGGATGTTCACCAGCATCTTGGGGATGGTGGTGGAGGTGAAGCAGATGTCCACAAAGGACAGGTTGGAGAGGAAGAAGTCCATGGGCATGTGCAAGTGGGAATTTGAGATGACAGCCAGGATGATGAGCAGGTTCCCAAGCACAGTGACCAGGTACATGGACAGGAAAAATCCAAAGATGAGGGGCTGTAATTCTGTGTCCTTTACAAGTCCAAGAAGAAGGAATTCTAACTGTTGACTATCATTTCCTGGTTCAATATGCATGTGTCTACCAGAAATGAGAAAAAGAGAAAAACACATCTTCTCATAGACAGGTATTACATCATTGAAGAGAGACAAAACATATTTTGCTCTAAAGAAATTAATTTTAAGAATGGGTGTGTAGCTCCATTAAGGAGTGCTTCTCTAACATGTGCAAGGCCCAGAATTCCATCATTAGCCTTACAATAAACAAAAAGTAAAAACAATGGAATGGAAATTAATTAACTTCTATAGAAAGTGCATGTATTGTGTTCCTCTAAGGGATACTGTGCCATCTCTGATGATGAATTCCTCTTTCACTCTCAGGGTTTTACTAGGAAGTCATGTATTTCAGAACTCTAAAGGGAACATTAATAGTGCGTTTAGAAGTATAAAAGGAGCACCCCTGATGTGCACTCTGGTGGTTCCTGTAACTTGGCTACAGTTAGTAGGCATCAGTAAACATGGAAGGACAGATATCTCCTACTACATGCATTTAATTTCCTCTGACTATATTCCCAATACTGTGATTACTGCATCATGTGATAACTGCATTTTAATTTTTATAGAACCTCCGAATTGTTTTTCATAATGGCTTCATTAATTTGTATTCCAAATAACTCTGGATAAGTAGTGTTTTTTTTTTCATCTGTATAGTCACTGGCCCTTATTATCTTTGAAATTTTTACAATTGACCTCCTAACTGGAATAAGATATTATTCTATGGCAACTTGAGTATCATTTTTCTGATATTTGTGAATTGAGCATTTTTCATATGGCTATTGGCCATTTGTATATATCTAGTACACAGTGGAATAATACTCAGCTGTTAATAAAAGATTGAATCCTGTCGCTGGGGACAACCTGGATGAACCTGGGGGACATTATGTGAACTGAAATAAGCCAGGTACAGGAACACTACAGCTACATGACATCATCCATAGGCAGATTCTGTAAAAGCTGATATCATAGAAGTGCAGCAGAGTAAGATGGTCACCAGAAGCTGAGGAGCGTGGTGGGGACAAAGGGATTTAGAGAAGCTTCTCAAGGCAAGAAAACACACAATTAGAGGAGAGGAATGACTTCTGGAGTTGTACTGCACTGTAGGGAATTATAATTAACAGTGATATATTACATATTTAAAAATAGTTACAGTGGAGGATTCAGAATATTCCACCACAGAGAAATGATAAACGTTTCAGGTGATTAACTAATTACCCTTGCGCAATTATTACACAATTTATACATGCATGGAAATAAAAAGTTATACTAATAAAGTTGTATAATTACATGTTATTAAATATAAAGCAATAACTAAATATTAAGTACCAACTACATTTCAGGCATTGTATCAATAATCTATATGAGGTTAAAAAAAAGTCAGCACTATCCAAAGAGAGGGAAAGAACATAAGCAAAAATGGTGAAAATCACTTAATATGTCCCATGGTGATGGGTACTAAGAGGAAAATGAAATAATAGAGAGGCAGTTGTGCTTTTACAGCAATTCAGGGAAAACCAGCGGGAAGAGGGGCATCCAAACAGAGCCCACAAAGAAGGCAGGGCAGGACCCACAAGTCATCCTCAGTGGTGTGGTCTTCACTGGGGGACAGTCATTCCTGAAGAACATGCTTTATTTGGAAAACCAAGGATTAATAGAAAGCCCTTGGCCAGAGAAGGATCAAGTAGGAGAGTGATGAGAGATGGTGTCAGAGAATGTGGAGGAATGAGCTGGCCTCACAGCTCTCTGAGGCTACAAGGTACAGGGAGCCCTTCATCCACACCCTGAACCTGTTTCCCCCTTAAATTTCCTGCAAACACATTCTGTGAATTGCAAAGGATTCCTCCCTTACTACCACCTGAGGGTTAAGTTCTGACCTCTAGCTTCCAAGAGTCACCTGCAATATAAAAGTTTGAGTACCACTTCTCCGAGCCCCCCTCCATGAGGCACATAAACACACACACACACACACACACACACACACAGGAACACACTTCTTTTCTGTGTTTAAAAAGGAGCATGAAAATCTGTGCAGCCAACACAGGGAGGAAGAGAAATAGAGAAGGATGCGGAGTGAGGGAAAAGGACAGAGAACACAAAGGGGTGGACAGAACATGAAGAGGTGAGGGCAGAGAGAGAGCAGATGTGGACACAGGGGAACAAGACCTTGCATGCCCAGGTGTTTCTTTTCCAGTTGGAAAAGGCTTCCTTGGTCCTGGCAGCGTTCCAAACCCAGTGACCCTCACTGGGTGCTCAGCTAAAACCATAAACAATAAAAGTATGTTTTCTAAAAGACCAAAGTAGTGACATTTTTTAACCTAGTTTTTAATGTTTACATTATTACATTGCAGTGATATGTAAGGTTGGGGCTATTTTTTGAAAGTGTTTTTATCTGTAGGTGGACACAATACCTGTATTCTATTTACTTATTTTTTTGTGGTGCTGAGGATCCAACCCAGTGCCTCACACCTGCTAGGCAAGCGCTCTGCCCCTGAGCCCCAGCCCCAGCCCTGTTGGGGTCATTTGGACACAATCTCACATGCAGGGAATCTGTTTTGCTCCCCTTCAGTCCCCAGTACTTTCCCTCCTTCCCCTCCTCCCTCCCACTCTTCCTCTTCCTCATGTCAAGGCGTCTGACAGTCCATACACATTAGAAAAAATGACCAAAGGTCAAAAATCAACAATTGACAACAGGAGATGTCCAAAGTTCCTATAACAAATTGGAGAACTTTTAATAGGAAACCGCTGATCTGTCTTCCTGTTGCTGTTCCTTTCACCTGACCATTGACTTTTTCCTAGATTCGCAGCAGATATGGCAGGTTTTTTTCTCCCAGTTTTAAAATTCACACAGATTTGTGCCTGTTCACTGAGTCTATAGGTGGTAATCCACTATATGTGTGTGCTGTGTGGTGATCAAATCAGTATAAGGAGCTTTGAATCTCTTTATCACTGACCATTTCATTGATTCCATTTTTTTTGTATGTGACATAAATTCTGGTTGATCTTGTTTTGTTTCCATTTTCTCATAAGTGTTATTTTGTTAGACACATAATAACTGAATAGGTTTATTGTGTATATTGTGATGTTTTGATACATTTTTATGCTATATAGTGATCAGATCAGGGTGCTGGGAATAAAATATAAAAATAAGTTGCTAGACTCTTAGAAATAAAAGATCAGGAAGTCAGATATAATGTTATGATTTAGCTAAAAAAAATTTAAATTTACTTGTAGATGATGGGCATAATCTTTAGTGAAATGATGAAGAGGAACACCTTCCATCAGCTGGCCAAATGTGATGAGGCTTCTGAAAATACACCTGTAACAAAGTGCGGAAAATCAAGAGGCACAGAGACATAAAAGATATATGAAAATAATTTGGAAATATGTAGAAAATTTGTCTTATTAGTCCAGAAGAACTTTTACCAGCATTTTCGATAAAGTGGGGATTCATAGGAAGAAATATCACATTATTGAGTCAGATTCTTCATAATGAAGAGCACAATAACAAACACTCATCTGTTGAAAGACATTAAAATCTGAAGACATTCAGACACTCCCCACAGATACTTCTCCACATGGTTGCTGTGCTCATGGAAAAGGAACAATTTACAACATCAAAATCAGGGAAAAAATTCTCTTTGAAAGAATAAATTACAGGAAATATAGAAAAGAAAAAAAAAGGAAGGAATACCCTCCAATTCAAAGCAAAGAATTTTAAAAATCTGAAATAGAGAATTCAACATCCCTCCAATGCACTTATAAAATAAAACTCTTTAGCATATCTATTTTTCGCTTAAGTAAATTTATTTTTATGTGGATTAATACCAAGAGTGGAAGAATATTCAGTGATATTTCTGTATTAAGAATTCCTGATGCAGACATTTATTTATAAAAAAAATCCTAAATCAGCATCTTTCCCATAAATATTAAAAGTGTGCTAAAATATGCCCCATTGCAATTTTTTAAAAAGGATCTCCCACCACTGTACATCCCTCTGCTGTTCACTCTGGATTTTCCATTTCCCTTCCTTGCAAAGGTACTCAGACTTACATTTACTGTGATTCCAAACTTTATACCTCCCATCCATGTTCTAAATGAGCTTATGCAACTGTAAGTTGATGGTCAACAATGACCTGTTTTGCTGATTTCTGGGACACTTTTAGTATCTTATAAATCCATTAATAAGTCAATTAAGTGAGCAACAGACACCACCATCTCTGGGCTGCAGGCCAGGCTAGTTGGGCTCTCAGGGAACCTCAGGTGAAAGTTCTGATCCCTTCTCTTCAGTCCTCTCCTGCAGTGTCTGCTGGGTCCTCAGGCTCACCTGGGTGGCATCTCTGATGGGAGGGTCTGAACATGCGTCAGTTCTTCCCTAGAAGTTTAAGGAGCAGAGTGAGGCTCTGACTCCAAAGTAAAGAAGAGGAATGGGTCCAGCTTTGGTCCTCATGTCAGATTTGAAGACCTTGAAGAATGAAGTAAGTCCCAAGGACGTGCACTCAGGGAGAGCAAGAGCAATCACAGCCTACAGCTTCTCTACCTTCTCACTAGTCACACGTCCTTCTTTATACTGCAACCTCCAAGCACCTGATTTCCCTGCAGGACTCTGGACTATAATCAGGAAAGAAAGAGTTTGCAAAGATTCTCCTGAGATCAGAGTGGAGTCAGGAGGATCAGCCCACATTACCACCAATCTATAGGCCCCATCTTCCCAAAGTCTGAACCTCCTACCACCATATCCCTCCTGTGAGTTATAGTTTTCTTTCACTTGTGAAACTAAGAAACCTGCCCTGGTGAGTTATCTTGTGTCCTCAAAACAGATTCATGTTGGGGATACAGTCTCTGGTGTTTCTCTATCCCTCTTTAACAGAGGATTAAGCTCTTTTTGTATAAAATGTGAATCCATAAGACAACACCTGCTGTATTCATCATGCTATGACAACAATACCTGCAATGTCATGTATCTGATAAATTCACATGTTTCTAATGAGGGATCAAATGATGGCTCTTACCTTAGGATGTGAGTTTGAGTTTGAAGAGATAAGAATCTTCAGGCACCAATACTTGATCTCCCTTCTCATATCATGCTCATTCAAAGTGGCTCTTTTCATCTCTTCTCTCAAATATCAAAATGAAAGGTGATTTTGTATATACTTGCAGATTTGTGTGGGTGGATGACTCAACTCTTAAGAAAATTACAAATCCACAGGCACACATGTCATATTCACACCAGGTACCATGACCACATTCTGTGGACCCACAGGTATTTCCACAAACTTCATTATTCCTCACAACATTGTTCTGAAGTTATGCTTATTTACCCAGACTAACTTCAGAATAAAGAACACTGGGGGGTGTTAACTTACTTGATATTAAATTAATGGTGCCATTTTGGTGTCACATATTTTTAGGGCATTATATGATGTTTCCATACTTTTATACACTGGGGAATGACCAGACCAAGGTAAGCATATTTACCTCCTCAAGATTTATCATTTCTTTGTGGTGAACACACTCCAGACTGGTAGAAAACAGGAAGGTGACATAGTTCAGGGAGAGTGAAAGGAAAAGGGAGGTACTGGGTTTTAAGTTGGAGCCAATTGTATTCCATGCTTTATGATTATTGGTTCTGCTGTTCTGTCGCACAGTAGGGTCTTGATAAGTTCCTTCATATTACAAAAATGATGGGATCCAATATCCTTTGCAATTATTGCTTTATAATTATACATAAATTGGGTTTATGTATAATTATACCTCCTACCTGACTACAACTTAGTACCCTGGGGCCAACCTTCTCTGACCCTCCTGCTCCCTTACCCTTTCCAGCCTCTGGGAACCAGCATTCTGCTTTGTGCTCCTGTGAGAGCAACTTCTGTACCTTCTACATGTGAGTGAGGTCCTGCCGTACTTGTCTCTCTGTGCCTGGCTTGTTGCCCTTTACACAGTGACCTCCAGTTCTCTCCATAGGATCAAGGATGCCATTTTTATAACAATTATATATAAAAACAGTTAAACCTTATTGAACATGTTCTTCAATTGAGCACATGAGGTGAACTGTTCATAGTAATGTTTTATATCTTTTTATGAATTACTTAGATAAAGGAGGTCAAAGTCTCCAGAGCAGATCTAGTTAGGAGTAGATGGAAGCATTAATTATCTTCACTTTATCAATACTTAGTGTGCACAAGTATTAAAGTATTACACTGTACCCATACCTACATGCAATTATTACATGTAAATTACACAAGTTTCTGAAATTGTTTAAGAAAATAGAATTTTTGACTATCCTGACATGATCATTTCACACTGTATATATGAATTGAATTAATATGCCATACTCTATTTGTACAATAAAGAAAATAATTATTGAATAATTTTTTTAAATATTCATGTCAAAAATGATAATAGCATAAACCAGACATAATTACCCTATGTACATAAATGATTATATGACCTATGTTACTACTCTACATCATGTAAATGCAATGAATGAGAAGTCATACCTCATTTATGTATTATGTGTCAAATGCAGTCTTCTGTCATGTATAATGAATACGAAAAGATTTTTTAGAAATAAATTTAAAGAATTGATCAGAAATTTTTAAAAACTAGGGGAAAATTTTTTTGTATACTGTGGATATTTGCCTCATTATTGTAATCATTTACTACCTATATTTACCCTATAACTAACCTCAAATATGAACACTAAGATTCACTCTAAAATAAACTAAATTTAAATTAAATTAAATCCCAAAAGTCAAAATAGACATACACAAATTATTTCAAAACAATTACAAATTTTGAAATGCAACAAAAAATGGTCAATGTGCCTGAGTCAGTGACCTAAAAGAATAGATACAAAAGGCTTAGGTACATTAAAATGAGCTCAATTTCATGAGTACACAGATAAAATCACATTAAAATAATCAAGAGGACTTTGAATACATTACCTTGGTGTTTGCTGAGGTCCTAAATCTGCAACATCCAGAGACAGAGCGATTTTTGTTGGGGAGAACCCCAGAAGCAGGAGTCTGTTTCTGAAGCTCTTGTTTGCCGCAGTCTGGCTGGGGAAACTAATCAGGGGGTGAGGATCAACTTGTGAAGATTGATACAGCAGGACTGGGAGCCATTTATTTTAGGACAGTAGGGGTATATATACATAACTAATTACACACAGCTTATATTAAATAACATAAACTAGATATAGCAGTCAACCAATAAGGAATCCTCATCTTAATGATTGCACACAGCTTATCTTAATTGACATAATCTAGACACAGCAGTCAGTCATTAAGTTACCTCTATCACCTTAAGGACTCCCAGGCATTACTTCACAAAACACTCCCTCTGGAAAAATGCCAGGCGCCATCTTGACTTGTTTATGGAACCTAACATTTGTTTCCTCTGAGCTTAATTTATACTTTAGTAAAGCTTCTCTAGAGCCATCTTAACATGAGGTCTGGGACCATGGCCTGCCCTCTGTGACCTCAAGCTCGTTGCCTGGTGACCATAAGGTCCTGCTACCTAGTGAAGGAGTGACCAGGAACCTCCAGAGACCATTGTATCAGATGGTCCAACAAAGTGGCAAATGCTAAGTAGAGTTATAAAATCTTAATTTAATATTTATGGACAAGTGATTGTACATATCCATAGGTGAACATGATATTTTTAGCACATACACCTAATGTGTGCTGAACAAAACAGCTTAAGGGAACTTTCCCTCCCCACATCATTACCTTATGATTCCAGGTCTGCGCTCCTCACTTCAGATCTTCATAAAACACATGACAAGATCTGGACACTGCAGCCCCCGCCCACCCCCACTCACTGTGGAACACCAGGACTGGGTCTTCCTATTCACCTGTGCTCCTGTACCTGTTATCCAGGCTCCCCTCCTCCTCCTCCTCCTCCTGCCTCCTTCCCAGCCTCCAGGACCACTATTCTGTATACAGATTTAGGCTCCTTTGGCCTCCACATAGGAACACATGCAGTATTTGCTTCTGTCTGGCTTCTTTCATGGGACACAAGGGCCTGTCCCCTATATTCTGTTGTAAATGACAGGATTTCATTCTTCTTGAATGCTGAAGAGCCCTCAGTTATAAATATACCACATTTGACTACTGTGAAGACTGTCACCAAAAACATTGGGAAGTGCAGGTACCTCTTTGGAGGATAATTTCACTGTCTCTATTGTTTTATTATCAAGATCTAAGTCCATGAGTCTGGATTTTTTTTTTCTACCTCAAAGCCTCTTGGTTAATATGCACATGTATAGTTTTGTGGCTCACACTCTCTCTTCTTTCTCTTAAAACATCTCCCAATTTTCAATCTGTTCAACTAAAATTTACACAGGAAATACTCTTTATCAGGAATTGTACTAGACATCATGGTTGCAGGCACCGATGAGATAGGGTTCAGAATTTGTAGGAATTCATAGTGTGAGTGAATGGAAAATTTCAGTAAGTTGAGGATGATGGGAAGGAAAGAGGATCCAACAAAAAGGCAGGAAATCTTCAGAGTTGGTCTCATTTGCATCACCTCAGAACACATCTCTGCAAGTGAGTTTCCAAGGCAACAAGGCCCCCCCGAGCATCACTTGTGAGGTTACGTGTTAAAGGTATAATGTTTGGTTTGTTAAAATTAAAGACAATCCCTTATTGTAGATAACTGGGAAAGTGCCCTGTTAGATTCACACAACTGAGATTTCCTGGAGAATGTTAAAAGGCTCATCCAATGTGGAACCTCAGGAACAGTCCTGAGGACAGGGAGCTCCTGAAGGGAGACCCCAGGGAGGAGTGGCTTTAAAACCTGTGAAAGCTGAAGTGGTCAAAGGGCTGGATGGAGGAGGCCAGGCTCTCGGGCCCTTGATGTTGTGCCCACTGCTGCTCAGGAGAGTCCTGCCATGGCCTTTACTGGGGCACCTTCCATCTGACCCCTCCAATTCCCTGCTCCTCAGACTGTATACAAAGGGGCTCAACATGTGGGTGACACCAAGGCCACATCAAGATCATCTAGACAACAAAGTGCCTGCAGAACTGAGGAGGACCTCAAGGCCAGTGCCACAGTCTCAATCTTAAGTGTCACCCAAAGGCCCTGTGTTAAAGCTTGGTCCCCAACTTGGTGCTATTGGAAGGTGGAAGATATACCAAGCGGAAGGTCTACTGTGAAATCTTAGTTATTTTTGGAATTACCCTTAAAAGTGATTGTAGGACTTCTATCTTGTCCTTTATTTTTGTTTTCTACTTCCAGGCTATGAGGTCACAAGTTTTTCTCTGCCACATGCTTGGAACCCCTCTTCATGTGCTCATTGCAATAGGGCCAAGCCATGGGGCTAATCCAAAACATATTGGAATCTTCAAAACTGTGAGCCAAAATAAATGTTCTCACCTTATAAATTGATTATCTCAGGTATTGTGTTATAGTATCAGAATGCTGACTCACATAACCAGTGCATAATGCAAGGATATTACCCATAGTTTAGACCCACATTCAGAAAAGGCTTTGAACTGGTTCCTGACTGTCAAAATTCTAGAATGATAGAAGCTAAGTACACTGTTATGTTATTGATGAAGTTGCCTGAATACAGGAACTCAGGATTCTGGCAAGTCCAGAACAGTGTGGGGATCCTATGTTTGTGCAGAAGGAGGGCAGTAGAGGAGGTTTACTTAGGTAAAAACCATATTCTAAACAAAATATTCATCAGTACTGTCTTCTATCATCTCCATGTAGCAGAGATCAAGATCAATAAAATGTCCTATGCCAACGTTTGTTTTTGTCCCAAATCTGTTTATTTCAATATCCAACATTTTTACACCAAATGAAAAGCAGACTTCACCACAGTCTTTGCACATTTTCTGTGTGGGTTGACATTGTCATCAAGATGGTGTTGTCTTTCATTTACCAGCTCTCATTAGAAGAAAGCACATGAGGGAAATTTGAAGCCTAGGATGCACCAGGACAGTAATGACAGCTTGCAATTCCATGGGAGAAAGTGAACAGCAATCATGAGTTCAGGAGGAAAGGAGAACACATCAACATTTAAACTATTTACAAATGGCTTGCTCTGCTTTCCCTTTTTATATATAATTCTTAATGGAGCTTTCCATTTGGAGAAAGTTGTGGATTAACATGTGGTAGTAAAAAAAAAAAGACAGAGAAATCCAAAGACCCTTTGGTCAGATTCCACCATGGTAACACTGAGCAAAACATCACAGGCAGCTTATCAGTGCTGATAACAAGGAAAGGACACACAGAGCTAGGAGAAGCTCACTGATCATGTCTTACCACATCATTCACACAGGTTCAGGTACAGAGTCAATCTAAGTGCCCATCACTGGAGGAGTGAAGGGAAAAAACGTGGCATATATACAACATGGAACACCATTTATACTTATGTAGGATGAAATTCTGTCATTTAGGCCAATGTGGATGGAACCAGATCACATTGTGCTAAGTGAATAAGGCAGTTATCAATAAAAAAGTACTTCATGGTTTCTTTCCAATGAGGAAGATAAAATAAAATAAAATAAATTCTAACTTGAATATAGAATAGAGATTACTATACATAGGGTTGAAGAGGGTGGATAATGGATGTCTTTTTTGATGAGTCTTCACCGTGGGCATGTGTAGATATCACACTGAACCTCCTTAATATTAACAGTTATTTATGCTCATCACAATAACATACAGAACAGTTCCAGCAGTCAGGGATTCCCAGTTTTGCCCTGTTACAATCCCATCCACCTTTCTCCCTGCCCAGTGCCTGGCCCCCCAGAACCATTAATATGCTCAACATTTATATTTGCTAGCATTTCAAAAGTGTTGTCTAGCACATAAAAATATGCACCTGGGAAAAATAGTGGCCTAGACACCTCAGGGGACATGACCTGTTTTGCCCATGACTATGTTAGGCACTGTGGACACCACGTTGAAATAGAAACACAATCCAAAAGTGAGAATAAAACCTAATGACCAGCTAATACCTTGGGAAGTTAAAGGCTACCTTATCAAAAATGGAAGTTTTGGAAATAGTATAGGAAAAAAATCAAAGACACAAAATTGAATATCTATTCTCATGCAGCCATGGTGCACACTTGAAATACCTGTGACTCGGGAGTCTAAGGCAGGAGGATCACATATCAAAGCCACCCTCAGCAATGTAGTAAGGCCCTAAGCAACAGAGCAAGACACTGTCTCAAACAAAAAAAACCAGAAAGAGCTGTGCCTGGCTCAGTCGTTAAACAGCCTTGGTTTCAATGTACGGTATTAAAAATTTTTTTTCTAAGATATACTTCCACAATAAAATTATGAAAATTAGCCTTAGTTGTTATATGCAGTTTTTCACATGTGAAAAGTAATTATGCATATTTTAAGCAAAATGAACAATTACTTAGCATAACATATGTCATTTGAGATTATTTATAAAAATATATCTTATGGGATAAATGTGAATTTTTAGGTATTTCTCATCCAAAGTGGGAATAATTTGGGGAAAGCTGGAAAATGACAAGCAAAAGGATTGGATTTCACAGTGATCACAGCGTGTAATACAGTGAATGGTGTAGTGGGATTGTACGTCGAAGTTGAAATCAAAGAAATGGAAACTCTGCATTAATGTACAAGGACCAAGTCCTGCTTCCACCTTCCAGTGAAGAATCCCAGATTCTGGTTTTGAGGCTCTGAGCCCTGTAATCATGGGCACTTATTCAGTCTCAGAACAATTAACACTTTTGTCTTCCTGTGCCACAGATTCTCCTCAGAGCACATTTGATGTCCTTGTTTCTCAGACTGTAGATGAAGGGGTTCAGCATGGGGGTGACCACAGTGTACATCACTGAGGCTGTTGCAGTAGAGTGTGAGTTTTGGGTCACAGCAGAACTGAGGTATACACCTAGGCAAGTGCCATAAAATAAGGACACCACAGAGAGGTGAGACGCACAAGTGGAGAAGGCTTTGTACTTGCCCTGAGCTGATGAGATTGCACGGATGGAGGACACGATCTTGTGGTAAGAGTAAAGGATGACAGTGAGGGGGACACCTCCCAGAAAGACTACAGCAAAATATATCACCACCTCATTGAGAAAGGTGTCAGAGCAGGCACGCTGAACCACCTGGTTAAGTTCACAGAAAAAGTGAGGGATTTCCAAGTCTGTGCAGAAGGACAGCCGCAATACCATTAAGCTTTGTAACAATGCATGTAGGACACTCACAACCCAGGACACCAGAACCAGCAATCCACAGACCCTGCAGTTCATGATGACCATGTAGTGCAGGGGGTGACAGATGGCCACAAACTGATCATAGGCCATGACAGTCAAAAGTAAGTCATCCAACCCTGTAAAGAGTACAAAAAAGTGAATCTGGGTGATGCAGCCTGCATAGGGAATGGCTTTGCTCTGTGTCTGGATGTTCACCAGCATCTTGGGTATGGTGGTGGAGGTGAAGCAGGCATCCACAAAGGACAGG